ATATTAATAATATTACTGTTCGGAAAAATAATATTCATAATATTACTGTCCCAAACAGTAATATGACTGTCTGAGACAGTAATTTAGTAGTCAAGACAGTAATATTAATTAAAATATTTTTTTCTAAGAAAAAACAATTCAAAAAAAAAGTCAACGCCGGAGCCCGGCGGTCAATGCCGGAATCTGGCCGGAAAAAAAATTCAGGAAAAAAAAAATTTCAAAAAAAAAAAAAAAAAAAAAAAGTCAACGCCGGAGACCGGCGGTCTCCGGCGGTCAACGCCGGAATCTGGCCGGAAAAAAACATTTCAGAAAAAAAATCATTTTCTGAAAAAAAAAAAGTTTTGGGGGTAAATGTGATATATTTGTTTAAATCCGGGGTCAATGTGTAATATTAAGGAAGTTAGAGCATAATGGGTGGAATTGTTAAGAATTATATTATTGAGGGTATTTTAGACTAAAGACATGGGGATGGGCTTAATTGAGAGACTGTTTTTTTTGTGGACTAAATTGCATTTAAGTCCCATGTGATGGGCCTTTTTGCCATTTGCCCTTAATTTTTTTGGTAACACAGTATAGTTTTTTCCAGTAATTCCAGTGTGATTTTTATTTTTTTGCATTTTGTACACTTGGAAATATGTTTTGGATGGAATAAAATAACAATTTAATTCATTATTTTGCACCCTTAAAAAAACACCAATAGAAAATGAAATTACCCTCGTTAACTTTTAAATATTCGACTCATTCCAATGGTGCAAAGTGCGAGTAAGCCAAAATAATTTATGGATATATCTGATATTCTACGTACGCAGACGTACGTACGTAGAGCTATTTTATGTAAAAATCTTTAAAAAAATCTTACGTACCGAACTCATTAATATAATTAATACTCCGATCTTCATTTATTTATTAAAAATATTCAATAAAATAACGATATGATACAGGTAGAGCAACCGGCCTCCACACATCTCTGCCTACCACATCTTAACAACGTACTTAAGGAGAGATTAAAGAACTGGATTAACAACAAGGCAACGTAACTAATTAATTAACTATGAAAAAAAAAATCTCTATATAAATCGGAGCACTATCTTTGCATTTCAAACAAGACAGAGTTAATCATCAATTAATACAGTGAAAATCAGATATAATTTATCAAACACATAATTAAAAAAAAAATCCCAGAAAATGGCAGCTTGTAACACCGCCGCCGCTAGGTTTTTCCTCACCGCCATGGTCGTCGTATTCGGCAGCGGGCGCGGGCGTTGGCCCCACTAGC